GACAAAAACTGCGGGGAACTCTGCAAAAAACGCATCTTCGCACGGGCAGCCCGTGCGATGGCCAATCATATTAAGCACAGCAAGGGCATTAAGATTCCAATAAAAACAGTTTCTTCCGCAGTTACTCATCAATTTTCAAATGTAAAAATGTGGCATGAAAACTGAACAAACGGTTGAAATATACAGTGTTTGCATTGATGCATCAAACAGTGCTGAATAATTAATTTCAGTGCAACATAAAAAGTAAGAAAAGTGGATGTAGTTTATTTAACACGGTAGAAAACAAGTCTGGAAAAAGTATCTAACTTACTAACTTGACAGTCTATCTTTTACAATAAAACTGTAAAGTAATTATCAGAGCACGTTGAAGGGGGAGAAGATGAAAAAAGACGTTTTCTACTTCTTTAAGCCTAGTGAAAGCGGAAGTCAAGTAAGTCAATATAGCAGAAAAGGGACGCCAAAATATAGGTTGATACACTCAAAATTCGAAAACCTACCACTATAAAATTCTGCTGCAAAACTGTGAAAGGGGGACGCAAAATTCGGTCAAACAAACAATGAAATTAACTGGGAATTGATAAGCCAGCAACATATTAGTCTAAAAACGCTCAGTATTCGGACAGCTACGAAGAAGATACAGATGCAAAAATTTTGGTAAGCAAAAACCAGATTTGACGTCAATTCCTTTTTCTTGTCAGAAATCAAATACTCTGCTGACTCACCATGCGCACATAAACACGTGTATACATGTTAAACCTGTAAGATAAATAAACGAATAAATAAATGTATAGGTGTAACAGACAAGGGAAAGTTGGATTTCACAAATCTGGCACACCGACTATGACATTTGCGCATTCACTGAAACACGTCAGAAATCAGATAAGGGATTGGTGTAGAAGACGGTTTGCCAGGAATGGTATTAATAGCAGCAGGATATTTCGGTGATATTAATCGAAAACAAGAAAATAAGGGTCAAAACAAATACAAACTTGTTCGTTCCCGTTCCAGGATGTACAGCACATCCGCCTTTTGCATCCCAGTATAAATCTGTCTCTCAGCTGGTTTACTTCAGTAGTTGAGAAAATGTACAATTTGCTGATTTTCAATATTGTCTTTGCTGCAACATTTTTCGCGCTTGACGCCGCTCAGAGTGTTCACTGGCGTAAGTTTTCCGGCCATCGTTATCAAAAATGTCTGCACGGAAAATTTTTTTCGCAGGTTAAAGTGACAAAAAAACTTGAACTACTGCAATGAATAAATTTAGTAGCGCATAGAGTGACCAAACTTTACGGCTCCATCACAAGTTTTGTGTTGTCTGGCTGAACTATAGCGTTTTTTATCGCATATTAAGGATTCCTGTGCTGCCAGCTTAGAAGGAAAATTGCTCAACTATTCAACATCTTCCTTCCTTCCCTCCGTTCTCCTTCGCTGTTGCTTTATTCTCTATAACTTGGTTCAGAGTGGCGAGATCTCATATGCGAGACGAAAGATGGTCAGGGTCCAGATAAGATAAGCAAAGAACCGGCAACATGCAGATTGGCTCTACGTGAAACTGGCATTGACAACGATCCAAATGACAACAAGAGACCTGTACCGGAAAATGACCCTATATGTTTTGACGTAAGGCTTTTATAATGTTATCCGGCCTCAGTTTTAACCCAGCGACCGGTAAAGTGGTAAAGAAATTTTTGGAGCATGTTCTCACTGAATGTGCGGTGCTCTTTTTATGCGTTTTTGCATATCTGCAAATTACAAACCAGGCTGGAACGCACCAGGCGAACCGGTGCGATCATGCGTTTTTGCACCAGACTTGAAATAATTA